CTCTGACATTAATGCCCCTCTCTCTTTCTGTCTATACGCGTACGGGGAATCCCGTATTCTTCCTTACCCACGCATTCATCAGGCAAGTCTCTAAATCAATAAGTCTCCCTCCACAGTGCTTTTTATGTTAGCCTCTGCAGCTCTGAGCAATACTGAGGGTTTGATCAGAGTAGGAATACCCAAATGCCCTACTGATAACTGACGATATCCCTATCTCATGGAGACACCAAGAATATAAATCCTGAAGACCGCAGACAGGAATGACTTCTCTCAACGGCTAATAGGAAGACTACCACGCCAAAGCACAGCTTTTACCACGACACATGGAGTTTTGGCACACTCCCTTGCTCTTGCTAACACATCTCTCGTAGCTGATAATTGGCTCCCGGCGCTGCTAAGAAGTAGAACACAGTGCCAAAGAGTGGGGAAGGTTAGAGGGATTCATACACTGTTAACTACTGAAAATGCCTCCACAGTTTCAAAAGACATGGAAAGTCCCACGTCCACTGGACACTGATAGACGAGCAAAAAGTGATCTAGGTAGACTTCCCAGTACTAGTACTTAACAGTGCCGTATACATCCTCCTATGTCAGCCTATAAAGAGAAAAGGTCCTCCTTTACCAAGCTCGAGTGGGCATTTACTGATCTCGTTCAGTTGATTAACTGCAACGCGCTACGGAGTCTCACACAAAGCCGAGATATTCTCGGCGGTTTCTTGGCGAGAGCGAGTGATGCGACGTGATTCTCGGCATCACCTTCTATCTCTACCTACTATCAACTAAACCTATCCGGTGTGAGTAGCTCGTGTGTTATGATTCGGAATACGATGAAGGATCGATCCGATGAAGCCGGTCGAACGGAGAGTTGCCCTTTTTCCTTTTTTTTTTTCTTCTTTCCTCGCTAGATACCTAGTCCTTCTGCTACATACCCAACCCCACCGGGTCCGCGGAGTCTATCACATTTGCGCCAAAAGATTACGTACCACTTTCACAGCACCATCCATTTTAATTCTGCGAACATTAAACAATTATCAATTGACTAAGCATGACTATCTATCCTCTCTCCCCAAATTATCATAACCTGCCACTAGTATTACACTATCAAGCCCGTAGATTCAAAATTAATTGCCCCCTTTCTTCGCAACAGTCTCGACCTGGGGCGGTTCTGCAAGCCCCTTCTCGCCCTTGCACTTCGAGAGAGCAGTCTCGTAGCATGTAGACCCCTTGAGCGTCTCGCTAGAGGTCTTCTTGGCAGACGCACACTGCTTAGATGAATCGATTCTGTTTTTGTGTTAGTTACGAGGGGTAGAAGAGGAGGTAGAGGCAGACTAACCGGCATTGCCTACAGAGATCCTCAACATCTGTAGAGGGGTTCGTGCCGCGATATGTTTTGGCATGGTCTACGCATTCTTTTTGCTATAGATTGGAAGGCTTGTTAGTAGACATCAAGAAATAAGTGAAGGATTTGTACACACCTCGACCGCGGGGTCAACATCCATGGCGCTGACGAGAGCGGCGGCAGCGAAGATGGTAAGGAGGATTGACTTGATCTGCATTTTGGGTATTTGGGTTGGGTTGGGTTTGTTTGTTGGCGGTTTTATGGTATGGTAGTGAGCTGTAGTTGAGAAGTCGAATACCAAGGTGGATTGATAGTTGTATTTATACACAACGTAGGTACAACCTAGTAGGCTCGGGGAATGTTATTGATTCGCTAAAGCCTCCCACATGTGTATTAACTTTTTTTGTCGCCCCTGAATTACCGTAGAGTTGGAGTTGGGTTTACTTTTTTTTCTCTCTTATTCAGGGCCCAGGACCAATGTCAGGGGTTGGGTTCGTCTGTCTGTCGTCGTGATTTGTGGAGATGTCTTACTTCGGGATGGGAGACATGGGAAACCAAAATACATACATAATCAGTTATAGCGAAACGTGCATGTGCACTGCCAGATCATCCTAGGAACAAGTGACTGGATGTGAGGAGTTAAAGTAGACAGTTTCCCCAGATCTACACTGTTAGTTGCACTTGTATTTTGTAGACAACTTTTCCCCAAGCCTTTTAATAGATGAAGATTCGAATTCGATATTAAATTGAAGTCTCTTCAGAGCCGCGACTGAGACTTTCTCTGAGTTGTGCTACTGTCGCTAATAAACCCCTACACTCGCCACCGTTTAGTAATACATGTATGCTTAAGCTTAAAAGAGGCGCTTAAGGTTGTATTACCAACACGGGTTATGAATGCGTGATAAATTGGGATTCCTTTGCCCAAAGCTGAAAACGGGGGGTCAACGATATGTAGATTGGATAGGTATTGAGCTCCAATTCCAACAAAGCATCATAAACATTCGCGTTCGCCAATGCTATCAATGCCAATGCCAGCCAGCTAAATTGGAGTCCGAACGGGACGGGCCGTATCGCCAAGTGTCGGCCACCCTCGGGCCGAACACCAGAACACAGTCTTCAAAGACTCAGATTCGAAACAAGCCTTTCTATCGTGAGAAAAAAAATGCTTGTTTTGCGGATCCAGCCGGATACGGGACCCAGAACTCCCTCCAGCCGCCGGTCGTACAAGGAACGACAATTTTATCTTCATCTGGCCAACACGGGAAATCCTACTCACGAATCCAGGAATGTGGCACTTTTAACGCGCTATTATTGGTTGCTGAGCGAAACATCTTTTCAGGCACATGAATCATGTACTACGTGGTGTTGAGCTTAATTGGGCGTTCCACGTAACCATGCCTATTCAGGGGCACAATAGGAACTTCACTAATTCATTGTTGGCCTGTACTCTACTTTGTGGGATGGGATTCCCAGTCTGGCTTCGGAACTACTGAATCCGAGGTTGGAAGAAGTGGTATCATTCACATCCGATGTGGATTCTATTCTCCCATCAGCGCGCTGACCAAAAAGACGGAACTCAAGCTGAATACTTACCCAAATAGTGTTGTGACTTCACAAGGTTGATCAATCCGAGTGATATACCATGAATGTAATTTCTCTTAATCAACCGAATCCCCTATTCTCCTAGAATTAATGCAATTGGTGATATGTCGAATGTAAACTCCTGGGACCTCAGTACAACTGTCAACCACAATATTTATGTGTATGTTGATATCAGGTTTCAGCTCTGCAAAGCCAGAAGCTGCCACTTGGGTGGAGCACATACACTTGTGCGCACACTTGTGTCTACCATCAACTTCCCTTCCCCCGCCGCAATACTCTATATGATGATAGGTAGGCTATCAACCAAACCCTAATACGAAGGTCATGATCAGCATTTGTTATCATCCATCAATGATAACTCCGGTCATCTCCACCTGCGTAATAGTCAGTGCGCGAGACACATTCATCTCAATCGACATGCTGACATGTCATCAAGCAGGTCGCGAGTTCTGGTAGTGCAACAGTTTGCTGACCTGGTAAAGCGGATTGCTATTGCATACCATACAGAACGTTCCAAGTCCATTGGTTGGTAGAGTAGGTACTCTACCTATAGCAGGTTGTTATTTAGAGTACCTACGTAGGCATGCGTGTATATGCATCAATGTACTGCTCCAAATCGAGGCATGATGGTGATGCGCTCCACTTCGACAGCCACTTAATGTAGCCACAGACTTGAGATACCTAACGGGATTTTCAGCACTCTGTACTCGAGGCAGGTAACAAGAACCTGAACATAAAAACGCGCTAGCAGGGGTCAAAGTGGTTGCTACTAGAAAAACGATGTTCAGGTTCTTTATGCCTACCGCGAGTACTCTACTCTAGGAATTGAATCGTGTGACCGCAGGTTCCATCGGTGATCACAGTTCAGGAAGCGAGTAGGCACGAGGGAGATGAGATGGCGAGGTGTCACTTCCTCGAGGTACTCTACTCTACCTGACACGAATCATCACCGGCAATAGATAGATAGTCCTTCCGAAGGAAACCCTAAGCCTGCACTGTTGTGTATGTCAGTCGCCTGAGATACAGTATTGATTTGTACGAGACGCTTCTCCAAGACCTTTTGAGAGCACATGAGACCGTCAATGGTGGGTTTCTTGAGGACCTGCGAGGCAATCGAGGAAGGATTGGTTTGGCCGTTGGTCGGTTTGCAGCTAACTGTGCACGTGCAGATCTAAGACTTCTGGGCCCCACACGGCAAAATGGAGCCGTTGTGAAGTTTTGAGACTTTTCAGTTACGTTCTAAATGCATGTCTAGGTAGGTGTTAAACGAATGCGACTTCATCTGATCATGAAGACAATGAGCTGGCCTGATCTTACCCTCGTCTTATTTTGTGACTAGTGTGGTCCACGAGGCTGCTCGAGGCGAGCAGTGACAAGTGCTCGAGGTGCCTCTGCCTCGTTTTGTCCATGCCTTTGCTTGCTCGTGAAAAAATGGGGGATGCCTCGAGGTAGATAATTACTATATTTAGATCTGTCAAAGTCGTATTTTATTGTAATACTGGAACGCAAATGTAGGGAATGCTTCCAATGTTCCTATCAGAAACATTAACCCTAATGAATATATGCTACTAATACTATGATTACCTAAACCTCGAGCAGCTCGAGGCGAGCAAGAGGGTTTGCCTCGAGCATGCTCGCCTTGTCGACCCCCATGCCTTGAGCTCCCTCGAGGCAGAGGCCTCGAGGCAAGTCCTCGAGCGTCGATGCCTCGTGGACCACACTATTTGTGACTGACCGCTACGTAGTAGCTATGATAGTGCTTCCTGACCACAACGAGGAAGATTATGCTATTTAGAAAGGTAGACATACATGTAACTTAAGTACATGTAGGTACTTGTATTCTCACGTCCTTGTATGCAGAGTTTAAAACTGATACAAGGTGATAGCCAATACATGCACAAAAAGGCTAATCTAAGAATGATAATGTATTAATTGGATGTAGGCAAAAAGCCCAACACAGCTGTATCTATCATTGGTACCGTAACTACATCTATCTAGTGATATCAGGCCACCGCAACTATGCGAGTGATCTCTCATGCTCATGCAGCACGAGGAAGAATTATTTTAGTAACTGGGGTCCAACAACAAGCTCCGTTTGACTGGTTGAGCCTGTAGGGCGCCGGTTCTTCCAGTGTTTCTGCGATGATATTGCCGCTTGCTGAAATCCATGCATCTGACGATATCTAAACCCTAGAAAGTCGTCCGCAGTGGGGTGGACACCAACAAAAGTTAAACGATCATACTCGTCAAGATCCTCCTGAAGCACGTATACATTCCCATCTTCGCCATTAATCGGCGCTGCCGACGGCACAAACCACAGTGGCTGTACCCCCCCGCTCCTAACCATCTTCTCCATCACCGTCAGCTTAAATGGCTCCTTCATACCCTTCCAGTAGTGTATATCATAAGTCTCGTCCGTCCACCTCATCCGCAACGTGAACTTCATCTCCTCCTCCGGGCAAATTGTCTTAAATAGCTCAGTACAAGGCGTATCCTCACATATATAATGCGTGGTACTCCACCTCTGGCCCTTAATCACCTGGTCCGGATGATAAAGCGTCTTGTCTGTAGATATTTTTACTACGACATGCTCATGCGGTTTGCTGTCATCGTCCATTTCGATCCATCTTGGACAGATCCTCCCCTTCTTCCCCGTATACTCTAGTATCGCCTGCAGCACCTTCATGTTCCTGCTCTCTGTATAGAGCAATATACATTCGTAGAAAATATGAGTTCTCACCAACTCATGGATTTTTTTCAAATGTTTCAGAGTTTCCTCGCAGTCCCCAATGTACGAGAAGTACCAACTCATGACCCCGTTCACAAGACGGAATATAAAGAGATACCTGTACTCCACAAACTCGACGGTGAGTATATCCCCTGGCGTCCGTTCATAGGGCCACAAGACCTGTACTGTGGCTCTAGGAGGCTTGGAACGCGTGTTGTTGAGGTTTTGAAACTCGAAGTCGAGCACGTCTTGGAGGCCCTGGTGTTTCACTTCACCGTGCGGACCTAGGATGTAGACTGTCCGCCCACCAGGACTCCTGCGTATTCTGAGGTATATATTTTCGGAGTTGCTGGAGCCTGGGGGTGGGCCGGTGTGCACCGGGACTTGTTTGATTCTTCGTAGAGGCGGGGTGAATATAGTGATGCTTTGAGGTGGGCCCTTCATCTTTTCCTCGTGAGTTGTGTTATTGTAGAATATAATTTGCGTAGCTAGAGTGATGCAATTTAAATCTATTAGGCTTTTGCATAGGTGGTCACTGATTGTGTTGCGGTAAACTGTTGTTTGTCGTAAAGAAGCCATGTAGTTATGTGGAAGTGATATTGTTAGAGGCAGTGTATCGGGTTTCTCATACACTCCTCTTAAAAAAAAAAAAAAAAAAAAAAAGATGCACCCAAACCATGCCAATAAGGCTATATAACTGTAATATTCAATCTCTTTCTTTTGAAGCCCACGTTTCAACTTCGAGCAGCCTATTATGTGGCATCGGACACTTTGCCGTTAAATATCGATAACTGGCATTTACAAGTGCAACAAGAGGTCATGTTGTCAAGCTTAGCTACATAGATACATGTATATTAGCTATAGAGGAAGAGACCTCTCTTCATCAAGATCCGAGATGACGATAGGGTATATTGGATTGTAGGCTCCTTGTCTTGGTAATAATAAAAATTCCCAAATATGATTAGGAACGTTGCTAATTCAGCCCCAATGTGTAGGCTCCAGGAACGATACTTAAGCTTGTAGACTTCACTGATATTACCAACAGCTAGTTCAGGATAACCGCCAAGCAATATCTCACACAGGGTTAGGTCTCCTGCAGGAACCATCCCATCCGTCGGGCCGTACCACGAGCTCCCAGCATCTGCTGCTGCCTGCATCATCACTACTCACATCATCTCGTCAGCACCACTGATTAGCACCTCACAACCTCAACAAACCTCACAATGCCACCCCTAATGCCTCTCGTCGACTACTCCGACTCCGATTCCGACTCGGACACCTCCTCCCCTAATGCCAAACGCGCCAAACCCAATTCCACCAGCACCGCCTCCGGGCTCCCGCCTCTCCCCTCGCGCTTCCACGACCTCTACGCCGTCGCCCCACGCATCGGGCAGCAAGACGATCCCTCGCTCCACGGCGGACGCAAGCGCTCCATCCCACACGTGCAGGGCAATTGGCCGACCCACGTCTACATTGAGTGTAACACACCCTCCATCCCCACCCCAGCTCCAGCAGAGAGAACAGGGAGGGAGCCAGAGAGCTGACGGAGAATCTGGAGGGCATTTGTCGCGTTTAGAGTTCGACTGCTTGGACGAAGTGTTTCGGACTCTTGCGGGCGTTGCGGAGCGCGAGGAGGGCCTCGCGGTAGAGAGCCACCTCAAGAGTGATCTGGGCGGCGAGCTGCCGTTGCATCTGAGCCTCAGTAGGCCCAATGTGCTGGCCACGGCGCAGAGAGAAGGGTTTATGGAGCTTCTAGGGGACCGTGTGGAGAGGCTGAGGGTTAAGCCGTTCGTCTCTCTTGAATTTGCCTTTTTTTTCGTTCTTGCTGGGGATTGTGGGTGGGGAGATGACTGATGTGGGGATAGGTTTGCGATCGAATTTACAGGCTGGGAGTGGGTTAGCAATTTTGATCAGACTCGTTGGTTCTTTGTTATGAAGACTTCGAAGGGGCCTGAGAAGGAGGTTTGTGGTCTTAGTGGTTATTGTTGCGGGTACAGGCCCGACCTGAAGCTGATGATGAGCTTATAGCTTTCCCGCTTGCTGGAGCTCTCGAACCGTACTTTTGAAGCGTTCGGGCAGCCGCCGCTGCACTCGCAGGGTGCGGATAGGCTGGACGGGTTCCATGTCTCCCTTGCCTGGTCTTTGAAGAAGCCCAGTGACGAAACAATGCAGAAAATGGAGAATGCAATAATGGGCGAAGAGTGCTGTGGTAAGAAGATCATTACTTTGAAAGGTAGGCCACAGCGTATGGCGATGGACGTTGAGACCATCAAGGTCAAGATTGGTAATGTAGTCCATGTTGTTGAGCTAAACAAGAAGGAGAGGGAAGAAGGCAGTAATAGTAAGAAGAGGAGGTTTTCGGGCTCGAAGTGAGTACTCGATTGAAGCCTTTCTGTGCTTGGGTGTACTTTACGTTAGTGCAAATTAGAAATAAATGCAATTATTACTTGTGTTGCAGAACTACGTTGCTCCTAGAAGGCTACACTGACTGGCACTTGCACGAACTATCACTCGAACACCAGTTTCCTGGTGTAATTGCGGTACGATATACTACGTAGTAACTCAACAATCATTTTCTCTACCACCGCAGATGTCCTGAATTCATCTTGTGCTCAACACTTGTATCAATCCCAGTTTATATGCATGCTGCGTGCTCCCGGCGCGAGGATTTCGGTTCGCAGTAGGTGAAACACATTATGCTTTTAAAGACTCTATGTGAATGATTAGTTTCTCGGGAAGTGTTAGCCTGTTTCATGTAACAATGCCAGCGCGTGAAACAAAGCATTCGAGAATACTATTTAAAATGGCAGTAGATGAGTATGATTTAGTTATCGTCCAGCAACACGGTTTCCTGAGCGATAATTATAGCCATTTTTTCCACAGGAGATAGAGATCTTTTATAATAATTGTTCATGTGTGAAATTTAAGAACATACTTCCAGAAGCTGCTCTAGCATGGTTGGCCTTCGAGATTGTGCAGCCCATTCAAGTTAACAAGCGCAACCATTGAAGTCTTGGCGCCACCACCCCGGGTTCTTGCATCAGCTCCTACAACCTCTCTCTCTATCATCAATCAACTCCAACCTCCACCTCCACCACCCACCTCACCTCAAACCTCACAACCCCAAAGCCCCACAACTCCCCACCAACCACCCACCATGTCTCTCGACAAGCAAGCCGCGGCCTTCACCAAGTCCGTGCAGGCGCAAGCCAACTTCAGCGGCCCGCGACGCGTCGCCGCGCCGACGGCGTCCAGCACCCCCGCCGCCAGCACGCCCGCCAGCGCCCCCAAACGCAAGCGCATCGTGGACCGGACCAAGCCCGTCGCGCCGCCCATCGTCTACTCGCAGCCCACCGACACCTCCCTGGGCACCCAGCACATGATGACGCAAGTGCACCACGCCATCCAGCACCTCAAGCAGCGCGAGGTGCCGCAGACCCCCGAGCAGATCGCCAGCTACCTGTCCATCCAGATGACACCGACCCTGCTGCAGGTCCTGAAGCAGAATGAGCGCCTCACGTGGAACCCCGCGCAGGGCACGCTGGAGTATAAGCCCATCCATAATATTCGCAGTGCGCAGGCGCTGCTGGCGCATCTGCAGCAGCAGACGACGGCGCAGGGGTTGAGCGTGAAGGAGCTGAAGGATGGGTGGGCGGGCGCGGTGGAGACGATTGCGGATCTGGAGGAGAGCGGGGATATACTCGTTACTAGGACGAAGAAGGATAACCAGCCGAGGATGGTCTGGATTAATGATAAGACGCTGGATATCATTGTCGAGGACGAGTTCAAGGCGATCTGGCATAAGATTGTGATCCCGCCGCCTGGAGACCTGCCGGGCGAGCTCGAGAAGGCCGGGTTGAAGCCGACGAGCGTGGACCCGGCGACTATAAAGAAGGAGGTCAAGGGTGGTGCGCAGAAGGGAAGGAAGAGGGCGCAGAACAGGAGAGTGAAGGTTAGCAATGTCCATATGAACCACATTCTCAAGGACTCGAAGGACTTGAAGAGGTAGTGGGACTATCAGGGTGAAGGTATTTCTTTCTTTCCTTGTGTTCTTCAGGGCGTTGGATTTAGGTTTTCCTTTCTTTTGTGTGTCCAAAATTGATACTATATCCAAGCAGCATCCTGGCTGCTTGGGTTTGGGATAGGGTTCTATAGAGGATTTTTTAACTTCTTTTCTCTTTTTGTTTTGAGATCAGTCGATAAATTGCACAGTGCTGGAATGTATTCGTGCAATTTACAATATAAATTATAATTACATATATAACTGTGCCAATATCCATGATTGTGATAAAGACCTGTACATAGTACGAATCAGGGCTATGTAGTATTGCAGTAAGCCTCAAACAAACGTACCCGAGAATAGTAATCTCGTCAAGTTCGAACCAGGATTAACTATCATTGACATCCAAAGCTGCTATCTCCCACGAAAATCGCCCAAGACCCTTCTATTCTATATCTGAACTACTAAGGCTAGTAGCCTTAGTCAATGGCCCTGAATTACATATTCCTTGACTGTCCCAATTCTAGTCTTTGTCTGGCCGTGAATAGTAGCGCGATTGTGAACATGTAGTTTTCTATCAAAAAGCTCATTTACTCTTCACTTGAATGCAATCCTATCTACATGCAGGCCAGCAATAGAACTACCAGTTCTCACTCTAGAATACCACTCTCCACCACACACAACAGGCAGTCTATAAAAGGCCCTCGCGGCCTCTCTCCTCATACCCATATATCACAATCACACACTATCTCAAAACACAAACACAAATAACAACCATGAGTCTCCTCCCCACCCCCAACCCCCACCTCCTCCCTAAAACCCTCTACATCTACAGCGACGTCCCGCCAACACTCACACGCCCACCCTCCCCCCTCCCCACCCTGCAAGACCTCGAGCAGGCCGTCAACGACAGCATCGGCGATATCGACCACAACACCGACGAGATGGAGGCCTTCCTCACCCGCCCGCAGCCGTACTCGGTTGAGGAGAAGGGGCGTGCTGCGGTGTTGCTGAACACGGCTGAGAAGGAGGTTGAGGTGGTTAATACGCATAGGGGTGTGTGTGCGCTGCTGAGGGGCAGTGGGGTAGATGAGGGGAGGCTGGCGGTGTTGGAACAGAGGTTGGAGGATGCGGCAAGCGATAGTGCGGAGGTGGCTTGGGAGCTATTGGCATTAGTGAAGGAGTAGGAATTTAGGGTATTTTTTCCCTCTTTTTTCTTTTCTTTCGGTGCCTGGCGTATGGTTTCTTTGAGAGGTCCTGCTTGCTGTATAAATTATATAAATCAGGAGTTCGGGAAATAACTGGGCCTGGCGATTGGTAGACATCTTTTATTTTTATTTGTAGTATTATAGTTGAACATTTATTAAATTCTAAATGATTTCCACGCTCAGTAGTAGTGCATAAATGGTAGATGCCGTGTTTTCAGTGCTTTGATGCTCATATGCTGAGAGCAGAGGGCTTGCTAATCGTTATTTTTGTAAGTAATATTAGCTTTAGACATAAATTATTAAGTCTTTGAACATCTAGCTTTCCTGTGGTTGAATGATCTTAATGCCACATGTAGAATAGATATGTGGCTAAGTCCACAGATGGTATGATTTTTTCTGACGTTTCATATTCCAATTCTCATCGTTACTCAAATATAGCCATCTATGTCGTTGGTAAAGGGCGTTGTGGGGTTCTATGACCGGCGAGTTCATGGTTAAACTGTTTAAGCTTATTTCGATACCGTGAGGTTTCCCAAAAATAGTCCTGTGCTTCAGATAGTCAAAACCAGGACGTGTCCTGCCTGCAAGATTCAACGCAATTCGATGCGCTGGTTCACTAGATCCAAATCTAGGCATCTCAATTGCGACATTCGATAGAATGGCTGCTCCGCGCCGCGGGCACGGAGTCTGTCGTAATATTCTACTGCACCAGAGAAGCAGAGCCTATAGATGAACCCAATTCCAAGATTAGGCTTCTTCCTGGGGTACGAAGACATACTATTTCCCCAACACTTTTTCGTCGCTGCCAGCCCCGAGTGATCGCGCGTGAAGCCAAGACTTGCTGCACCTAGCATGTGACAGTGCAGTCGATCGCGAGAACCATGCCATCCCGCAGCACCCGCCGCAGGAACTGGCTGGGGATACAGCATCATCCAGAGGACACAAAAGTTCCCGGAGCAAGCCGGACGGGTAAAATCAACCTCCCATTGTTGTATGCTGCACCGATTGATCAGATGGTTTATTCGCAGGGTTGCTGTGCTGTTGCGGACACCTGTTCGGTTACCAGGTCCACGCGTAAATATGTATGCAGTTGATGTATGGAGATGCGATAGGAAGGGATGGGGATGGGGATAGGATAGGGATGGGTAGAGGTGGAGTGGAATACGTAGAATAGAGTAGAGGCCTCTCCCCTTCTTCTCGCGCCTGCATGGAGGGCCCTGGCATAACCAATCTTATCGATCACATCTGGCAGTCTGTCTGCTGGCTGTTGGGTTTCAAACTGGTGAGAGGAGAGAAAGATCGAGAGTGCTAGGTAGAGGGCCCCTACTCTCCATTCTAAAGTACACTAGGCTGCTGCTGCTGCTGCTGCCCTACTCTAACAGGCTCCGAACACCTAACTACCTCTGTTCTTGTCACCTCCCTCTTTTCTTTCTTTCTTTCTTTCTTTCTTCCTTCTTCCACACTTCTTCTTCGCATTCTTCCTGCCCATTGCAACGCAACCCCCCATTCCCCCAGCAGCAGACCTCCCTTCTCGTTTCAAACATCATACCGTCGTCATGGCTTCCTGGGTGGATACACGGACACTACACCAGAAACCGTTGAGAGGTAACAACTTTTTTCCCATCCCCCGTTCCCCCTGTCCCCTATTCCCGTCCGTCGCCGGAAACCACAAATAAAGCATCCCAAGTAAAATAGAAACAAAGACTTACAAAATGCGCAGAGAAACGGAAGAGTTCCGAGACGCTGCCCGATGACCAATTGATACACCTGAAGAGCTACCGCTACCAGGCGGTCGACAAATCCCTCATCTCGCGGTACATCCTGAAGCACTACGTAGGTTCTACATTGGGCAGAGAAGGGGAAAAAAAAAAAGCGCGTTGCATACTGATCGGTTGGTGCTATGTAGTGGAACTTCATGGTTGAGCTGCTGCCGCGATGGCTCGCGCCGAATGCGGTCACACTGATCGGCTTCGGGTTTATCGTCACGAATGTCGCGTGTCTGGCCTACTTCATGCCCGACCTGGTGGGGCCCGGGCCGAGCTGGCTCTACTATTCGTTTGCGTTCGGGCTGTGGGCGTACTCGACGATGGATAACATCGATGGGAAGCAGGCGCGGAGGACGGGGTCCAGCTCGCCACTGGGGGAGTTGTTTGAGTATGTTTCTGCTTCCTGAATCTTGACTGGAAGTGTCGCGGCGAGGTGCTAATGATCTTTTTCGGACTTTTGACAGCCATGGTATCGATTCTCTCAACTGCACTTTAGGTAGGTTGACTTCCGGTGGTGGTTTGTCGGGATTGGCGACTGATAGGTGCTACAGCTAGTCTTTGCGAAACTGCGTCCATGGGCCTGGGACCCTCGAAGGCTGGCGCTTTCACGGCGCTGATTCCGTGCTTGCCCATGTTCTTCTCTACTTGGGAGACTTACCACACCCACGTCCTTTACCTTGGATACTTCAACGGCCCGACGGAAGGTCTCATCATTGCCTGCAGTTTGATGGCCGCGTCTGGTTACTACGGACCCGAAATCTGGACCCACAAGCTCTCCGAAGTTTTTGGCGACCACTGGATCTTTGCCGACTACTCTATCCGCGATATCTGGATCCCAGTCATTCTCGGCTCGTTCTTGGTCGCGCACTTGCCTTTCTGTATCTACAATGTGGCCCAAGCCCGGCGCCGCCAGAATCTACCCGTGCTCCCGATCTTCTTGGAGTGGACCCCGATCATTATCTTCACTGCCAGCTGTGTTTTCTGGCTCGGCAGTGAGCACAGCAGCTTGTTGACTGACAACCATTTGATTCTGTTCTGCATGACTATGAGCTTTGTGTTTGGGCGCATGACTACCAAGATCATCTTGGCGCATCTGACGAAGCAGCCGTTCCCCTACTGGACCATGATGTTGGCGCCGTTGATGGGCGGTGCTGTGTTGGCCAACCTGCCAGTTTTTGGACTGTGAGTGATTACTTATTCCTGATCCGGCTCAATGATACCAGACTTGCTGACTGATTCGATGTAGCCCTGCGATAACTCCGCTCTATGAGCTCTACTACCTCCGCGCCTACTTTGTGTTTGCCTTTGTCGCGTACACGCACTGGGCGGTATTGGTCATTGACGCCATCTGCGGCTACCTTGGAATCAGGTGCCTCCGCATCCCCTACCCACCCCCGGCCAGGCCGGGAGTGCTCAACGGCGTCACCAGCCCCAAGAAGCAGAGGGCGGCGTAAGCGAGCGGTAGCAGAAGACAAAATTCGAAGCTTCTTTGTGGGTATTTTATTTTATTTTATTACATATGTAATTGTGCGGTTCGGGAGAGAGGGGGGGGGGGGGGAGGGTATAGACGCGGGGAGCGGGGAGAGGGAGGGGTGTCGGTGCTTGCTTTTCTAATATTTTGAAAGGTGTCGGTGCTTGCTTTTCTAATATTTTGAAAGGTGTCGGCTGGAATATATATTTGTTCAACACATTAATTGAGGGGAGAGGGGGGGAGCGGGGGAGCGGGGGAGTGGGGAGTTTGTAACCTCTTTTTTTTTTTTTTTTTTTAAATCGTTTTACTGTAACTTGAATTGATGGGTAATGAACGAAACCTGACTACTAGATTCATGCCGTATATGTACATGCGTGCGTATGTGGTGGGGTGTTGCGGTTGTTTGTATGCAAAAGTTTTTTTTTTCTTTCTCTTTTCTTGGGGGGGGGGGGGGGGGGGGGTCGTGAGGGCGAGGAAGGCAGGATAGGATACCCGCTGATGTGTAGTTTAATTGAAATGGCTTATCTGGGCGTGGTATCTGTTTGTGACATGAGAGAGTGAATGAGTGTGAGCGAGCGAGTGTGAGTTACATGCGGAAGTGTGTGAGCGAGGGGGTGAGTGATCCGTTGTGAATCCAGGGTGTTCGAGGGCCGTCACGTGAGCACGTGAAACACACAAACCAACTGTGGCAGCTCAATTGCAGCCAGCAGATCATCACACTCCCATCCACGCAGAGCTCTCATCTCTCCAACACTTCTCCTCTGCCATCTTCTCTCTCGGCCCAAGTCCTACTGCTGCTGCTTACGTTACCCGGCCCCTACGTCAGTTGCAACCCGCAGCGTGATCCCAAAATCCTCCCGACCCAACTCCACTCCACTCCACCACCCACTCCCCCACCCCACCTCCACCTCAATTGCACCCAACCAACCCCCCAACACCCACCCACAAGAGCATCCACCACCCAGCACCCACAGCCCCAATGTCCGACCCGCTGCTCCCCGGCCCCGCCGCCTACCGCCGCCCCGACCCCGACGACATGGCCGAGACCGAGCTGATGCTGCGCCAGAAGCTGGCCGAGAGCTCGTCCTGGAACCCGATGGCGCCGCCGCCCGTCCCCGTCCCGGTCCCGGTCCCGGTCCCCGCCGAGGTTCCAGCCCCCGTGTCGGTGCCCGCGCCCGTGCCGCCGATCTACGACCCCGCTGAGGTCCCGACCCTCGTCGAGGAGGAGGGGGGGGGCGAAGAGGCGGCGGCGGGGGCGGCGGGGGCAAAGAAGACGCCTGCGAAGAGTAGGACTAGGGCTGGTACGGGGGCGGGCAAGAGTACGCGGAGACGGAAGACGAGTAGTACGCCGATTAAGGACGAGAGCGACGTAAGTCCGCCCCACCCCCCCACTCCCCAGTTCACCATCTAACACGCTCCTAGAACCCCTCCTCGGAAGAATTCACCATGGAAGGCATCAAGACCAAATCCGGCCGCAAGGTGCACCGCCCCGCGCACTTCAACCCGGCCCAAAAGCAACCCTCCCGGCGGCGCGGGCCCTACCGTCGCATCCACGACTCGCGCATCTGCAAGATCTGCCAGCGCGGCCACAGCCCGCAGAGCAACATGATCGTCTTCTGCGACGGCTGCAACACGCCCTTCCACCAGCTGTGCCACGACCCGCCCATCGACGACCTCGTGATCGCCGTCGCCGAGGCCGAGTGGTTCTGCAGCGCGTGCGCCAAGAAGCGCGAGGAGAAGCCGCTGGCCACGGGGCTCAGCGGCCAGAGCCTCACCGAGGACGAGAAGAGGACGTATTTGGCGAGCTTGCCGCTGGGGAGCTTGGTGGAGCTGGTGTTCTTTGCGGAGCGCGCGCATCCGGAGCTGCCGCTGTATGATCCGCAGACGAGGCGCATTGTGGAGGGGATTAAGAGCGCGAGTGTGGCGGCGGTGGCGAAGGAGGATGGGGGGGTGGAGGTGGGGACTGCGGGGGGTGAGGCGGTGGCCGGGGAGGCGGCGGAAGGGGGGGGGGTGCCCAATTGGGAGGATATGATTGTGAGGGCGATTCTGGCTATCGGCGACGAGAAGGGCAGCCAGGCGAAAGCCATCTTTGAATGGCTCGGGAAGTACGTCCACTACCACCCCCCCCCCCCCCCCCACGCACACAAACACCTAGCTAACACACAAAAAAACAGCAACTACCCCGCCATCGAAGGCCGCGACATCCGCTCGGAGGCCCAAGGCTCTCTGCAATCCGCGCTGCGCAAGAACCGCCTCCTGCGCGAGGGCCACAGCTACAAGGTCAACCCGGCCTTCGTGTCCAAACCCACCCACACCATGCTCGACAGCATCCCGGTCATTGCGCCCGGCTCGGGCATCAAGCTGCCGCCCGAGACGGAGGACCTCTTGGTGGATGATGATCTCGTCGCGTTCAGCCATAAGTGGCGGCTGGGCGTGGCGATGGAGGATCAGGATGCCGAGGGCGAGCTGGATGCGGATGCGGATGCGGATGCGGATGCGGATGCGGAGGGGGAGCAGGACGCGGAGGGGGTGGAGGATGCGGAGGGGGTGGAGGATGTCGTTTTGTAGGGTGTTGTAGGCGTGAGGTGTAAGCCGTGTGTCCTGTGGTAGTGGTGGTGGTGCCTTTTGTGCGCTTTATGCTTTATTTCTTTTTTTTGCATTTTCTTTTTTACTTCGACTGTTTTGGGGGGCGGCGGAGCTTGGGTGTCTGTATTTTTACGGTTTTTCTTTCTCTCTGTTTTTCTATTGTTTTTTTTTTTTTACCCCCGAGTTTTTAATTAGTGAAATGGAATCAAGCCTTCTGCCAATGACTGTTTCTCTCTTTCCTTGGAATCGTGACTAATAGATGCGTCGTTTTACCAGCCCTCGATAGAAGAAGTTGCGTAAAGAGTTACTCAGGGTTAGGGTATCCATACATAAAGCGAGTGACACCGCATGACGCAGCCTGGACAGCAAGTTTGGAAACGGTGTATATGGGCTTCTGCTCTTCATGCGGATTGCATGGTTTCATTCTCCCAACCCTTTCTTCCCCACCAAAAATTGCTTCCCCACCAAAAATTGCTTTCCCACCAACACTTTCTTCTCCACCAACAATTTCTTCCCCACTATCCCCCCGCTCTGTATCATCTATATGTCTGTCCTTTTTCAGCGATCTTTTTTCTTCTTCTCGTCTTTTGTACGCTTTGTTTCTGCCCTACGTCGTTACAAGTTCTTCTTCACTTGACTGTGAATTCTTCTCTGCCCTGTTGGTCTTTGGCTTCTTCCCCCTTGCGTGCGTCAAACTCCTTCCTCTTCCTCCCCAGCTGCTATCCCTTTCTCGACCTGTCCATCACCTAGGTTCTTTCCTACCCGCTGCAATTCTCTTTCTCTGTTGTTTCGAGCACTTTCTTGCTCCCTTGCCCATCGATCTTCCACCAAATCTTCCTTCTTCCAGCCATTGCCGACTACCTTTCGGTCGTGGGCTTTGCTTGCCTGTCAGTTGTTCTTCTTTTCTTTCCATCTTTTGTTTCTTTCGCGTTTCTTCACCACCGAGTTACCCCCCTCGATAACCCTCGACTACTTCTTCTCTCTACCAAGCTACAAGTCTACTTTCTTTTATCACCCAGCCGTATACCCATCTTCATCTTGCTCATTGGCTCTTTCCTATATCTGTCACTGCGATTCGCTTCCCTTTCCCTGCCCTACTTATCCGTGTACTTCGACCACAAAATCGTTTCTGCCCAACTTATTCCATCAACTCCTTTCCCAACATACCAAAACTTCCTTCTCGTCTACCACCATTTCTTTCTACTGTCTTCGTGTGCCTGTCAATACACGCTCTTTTCACCTCGGTGTCTGTCTTTCTTCGTGGTCGACACTGGTAGTTTTCCTACCTGCTGATCACCAACTCCGGCTTCCTTCTCCCTTACACCAACTGCCCCCGTGCATCCGTTCCCCTGCTTTCTCTGTTTCTTGCTTCCTGGTTCCTCGTACAACGAGATGGCGTCCCTTCCTTCAACCACCTGCACCTAGCTGCCCATATACATGTCCGTCATCTGCCATGGGCTTTCTTGCAAGTGCAAGGGCTTCTTGTGCCTGTTCATGACTTCTTTTTTTCGATTGTCTTCCCTTGCTGTCAATATCCAAATTTTTTTCCCCTCCCCTCCGTCTTTCTCTGCCCCGCGAGCCCACGAGTACTTCTTCTCCCCTACGAAATTTTCGTCAACCGTCCCTTCTCCTGCCCGTCGTCTACTGACGACTTCCTTTGCATACCGATTTCCTTTTCTTTTCTTTCACTCACCCTATCTATTCCTAGCTATCCCTATTATCCCTAGCAAAGGAAGGAGGGCTAGCTAAAACTAAAGCCCTGTTCATCAACTCCCGGTCTTTCGTTTTGTCAGCCTTTCGCCTCTGGGTTTGGTTTATAGGTTATTCGAACATTAACCTAATTCCTAGCTCGCTCTCATGCAAGTACGGTAAGTTTGCTACCAACTCAGACCTTGTCTACTTCCGTGTTACTAACAGATTTCTAGACTTCTCAACCAATCAACGTTAACGAAGTCAACATCAACGATCGGCACCCCATATCTAAATATTGAACAAAGCATTCCGCTCTCCTATCTTCTGCACCTCCTTGCTTTCTACGAACAGCAACTAACTCTCTCCACAGACATAAGAATACTTAGTCAGTAGACTCACGAGCACGTGACTCGTCTCTTCTAGCCTCTTCGGCTAGGACACGCGCCTGACCACCGCGTGGATTACCGGATCGGGTCAGTATTGCATAAGATGACACCACTAAACGGTATTCCATGTATTAGGCGGAATGTATTTATACACTCTCATCACGGGGATATGGTTTAGGGGTATAACATCTCATTTGCAGTGCCAAACTGGCATTGAAACCTTGAGAAGGTCCGGGGTTCGATTCCCCGTGTCTCCATTCAACTTTTTGTTTTTTTGGACTCGGTGGCATTTTGGCTTTTTTTGCGAAGCGCTCCGTTCATGGGTCTCGTCTAGTATCCGCGGTGCCCTAGGTCTCGCTGGGACTGTGCGATTCTGGACGAGATCTAATGAAGGGACGTATGTGGGTTTTGAGAGGATCTTGAGTTCGAAATTTTGGCTTTTTAAAATTGGCGAGTGCTCCGTTCATGGATCCTGTGGGCCGTTTCCTTCTCGCCGTTTGACTGAGGGAGGCGCTGGTATACAGGACCCGGCGAATGAATGCGTTGGGATTAGGGAAGCACTCCTTGATGATTTACAAGATCTGGCGAAGGGATGTGCGTGTGATCTTTTGGCTTTTGGCTTTTTAGCTCTTGCGCTCCGTCCATGGGTTTCGTAACTCTCATTCACAGATACACAATTCCTAGCTGGATCGTGGGTGATGTGGGTTACGAAATCTGCCGAAGGGATGTTTTGGAAAGCGCTCCGTTTACGGGTTTTGTATTTTTAATGTTGTTGCGTCCTCTACCTTTAGGGGCGGTGTAGCAGATACTGAGATACAAGATCTGGTGAAGGGATGCGGAGTTTTAGATATCGTGGGCTGGGTTTTGGCTGTGAGTGCTGATGGGCGCTCCCTAGTTATAGATACTCACTCGATTGCTATACCTCCTGCTGTGGAACAGGTTCCTGTAGAAACGCCTTTGATAGCGGTTTGATTCTAGAATGCCAGCATCAAAAGCGTTTTTACAGGCGAGTTGATCTTTGGTTTGTCCCGTGTCAATACAAATGGCGCTCTCCTATAGAGATGTTTTGGGCCTTGGGGCAGTCGATTATTGTCGCTTCCCGAACGCCAGAAACATGTTGATAGGCGAGGCCCATGCTCTGTCTGGGAATAGGGAAGTCGCCCGTAGGGATGTTTTTGAAGTTGGAATTTCTGATGCCAGAATTCGAGCATCAGAAACATCTTTACGAGCGAGTTGGTTAATCTTTGAGTCGGATCACACCTAAGTAAAAGTGGGATACTCCTGTAAAGGTGTTTTTGAAGTTGGAATTTCTGATGTCAGAGTTCGAGCAACAGAAACACCTTTACGAACGAGTTGATTTTGGGGCTGGTTGCACATAAACACTGGCGGAGTACTTCTGTAGAGATGTTTCGGAAGTTGGGGCCTTTATCGATGCCAGATCGAGCCCGAGCTTCAGAAACTTCTTTATAGACGGGCTCTACTGGTGTCGGTATCCATGGCGGTCTGTTGAAAAGTGTTTACGTATGATTTATATAACTTTGGGCTAATTTTTTACAGGTGGTACATGTATGCGAGTATGAAAAAGATTAATATCAGTGACAAGGCTACTGAGACTCCGAGAGACTTCGAAGCTCCCTAAATAGATCTAGATTCTTCGTGTTTTTTCTTTCTTCCAAGTCTGTTCACTCAAGAAATCTTTACTAACGACTGCGTGTTGTTTATGGTCTTCGACATCCCTAGGGATTGCAACCCGCGATTGTATGTCAAAGAGTAGGGAAGGCCAGATAAGGAGATAATATGTCACTTAATGGAATCAACTTCAATCAAGGGAATACTTGGGGATTTTTCTAGTAGCACCAGATATGTGATTCACTATAGTTATGTAGTAGTAATAGAGTCAATTTACATCTTAGCTCAGGTAACGGAAGATGTTTTCGCAACTAGGCCAAAACGATTTCAGCCTGCCTACATGTAACTCTTTCCCTACTCTTACTCCCTCTATGTACAATAACGCTTAACTTACATGTAGGTCCAAAGTCCTTGTAGCATTGAAGACAAGTATGTTACTTTAAGAATTTATCAAGACGTATAATGTAAGAGACGTATGATGTACAAGACTGCACGTTGTTGCCAGTTGGCCTGTACAAATTGGACCTTGTCGTAAGTTATTAATTACTTGTCTTCGAGCACCTACGTTTCCTACGACCACGGGAAGCTTGTTCCTACCTTTCTTTCTCACTTGGTTTCACGATCTGATCCAAATTATTTTTAGGTTCTTTTTTCTTTTTTGGGTCCTTTGGAATAAAGACTGTTCATTGAATCCTACTCATGGATGTGAGATAGTTGGACGGCCGCTCTCATTCGACTAGAAACACGAGAAATCACTGCAGCTGATAAGGATATATACAGGGAGTTGGCGGTAGTGTGGTCCACACTAAGTATGAAAGCTTTATAGAAGTGCATAAACTGTAACTAATAAAAGAATCTTGTAGAATATTAGGCATCGGGGTGTTCGAGACCACGGTCTACGGGCTAGATTAAGAATCTGGCTTCACATCGGATTGGAACCATCCAATGCATGGTTTCAACATTCCAGGGGTTCTACTCGTAATTTCATAGCGTTTGTGAACACAACTGGGTTGCATACCCGCAAAATCCTGCATGAGGCTCCAGACTTTGGTGTATGCAGACCCAGCTATGTTCACAAACGCTATGAAATTACGAGTAATAATTTAGTCGAGTCGGGCCCGCTATTCCTCGGACTTGAGCTTGGACGGTCCTCATCTAGAGCCGGTCGAGACAATTGCATCCATAAAGAGTCCACGAGATGTTTTACAAGACTATTTTTTCCTACCCAAACCGGTCTGCATGGGCTTATCGGGCTATCGATGTGCTAGCTATAGACTAGTAAACTGTGTTAAGCTACAATTGCAACGTTAAAACAATTGATACATATATAAAACCTACCAACAGACCTGCTGGGCAGATATTTACACCCCAGCTAGGCCTGAAACTCTGAGCTGTGGAGTGTTATCGGACGGGCTAGGAAGATATATCGAGAAAAGCAAAATACAACGCCTTATGATGAATATTAGCTGGGATCCGGATAGTGTGACGACGATGGACCTCCGAGGGCTCAACCGGCCGGGCCGGGCGGAAACCAAACCCAAACCGGCCCAGGCCAGACATCGGAAACCTTATTATCAATGGAAACGGTTGAGATCTTTCAATAGAGGTTAGAAGTCTGGATTGAAATAGAGACTTTCGCCTTAACCTGGGTTAAATCGGACTTGGACCATGAAAGCGTGTTGAAGCACGTTATTGATAGGTTAGTAATAGTGTGGTCCACGAGGCCGAGCGTCCTTGTTTCCTTGCCTCGAGGACTTCCAAGGGCGGTTCTTGGCTATAATACACACATAATACGTACTAATGGAATGAGGTCATTAATAAAATATAAAGATTTTTACCTCAAGGACAACAGTGCCAGACCTCGAGGACAGACAAGGTCAGAGGTCAACGAGGACGAGGTACCTCGAGGACACCCCCAAACCTCGCCTCGAGCGTCCTCGTGGACTACACTGGTTAGTAATTGATGAAGACACTAGTGGTTGGGACTCGCCAAACAAATGTCCAGCAAATCAAGGTCATTACAAGATTATTGGGACCTCAGTAGAGCAGATGCTTCCTATGCCTCCGTCTAGCCCACACCTTCACACCTTAGCAATAAAACTCTATATTGTTTCGATTACGTGCCGTGCCATACGAAACCGTACTTCTACTACCCAACACGGAAGCCAAACCCAGGCCATTTTATGGCGCTCACTACCGGTCGAGTGATACCTGATGCCGAACCCCCAGCAAACTCATGCTCAACGCACCTCGATTTCGGCATCCTTGATTTCAAGCTTCCAGAACACCGTCAGTCCGTCGATCGCCGCCCTATGGAATATAAAATATGACCTAAATCATGATGATCCAACTTCCAGGTTTTTGACCTTGATAGACAAGCGATATGCAGGGAAAAGGAGTTCCGGAAAAACAAGGAATTAATCCGGTTGTCTTATGCTGGTAACGGTAACGTTGGATCTTATCTTATCTGATTGTAAGTAAAATAGATCCTTGTAGAAGGAATAAGATAAGAACAGAATGTGCTAGGATTGGGTCCGAGCTGGAATGCCAGTTAGGTTTTGACAAGTAGTGGTGTCTGATTCGTGCTGACGTCTATGTAGATGGTTATTTCTGTAAGTAAGAGATAGGGGAGCGTTTGGAGGAGCTCATGTTCAAACTTCCATGGAAACGACCTAAGACATAGATGCCTTCCCGGGCCACTTGAATACCCCCTCAATCGAACATTGACGGTTATTGGTGACAAAGAAGCTCAATTCAAGGGGCGCAGAAACCGGCTACAGCGTAGACTCTTTCCTTTTTACGTTACCTATTCGAGTGAGGGGTGCGTTCGAGTGCTGGTACCTGCATGTGTTGGCAGTCCGAGACTTGAGTCAAAATTGGGCAACTATTTTGTCATATCTAACCATCGATTGGATTATTCTTCGAAAGTCGGCACTCTAGAGTTTAGAGGCCAACGACGGAAAGGCGGTCTTCGGCCAATGGTGTGGCTAAAAATCAGATCTGAGACCCAACTGACCTCTGTTCACCGTTGAATCTCAATTTATCCTCAGAATTCATGGATGGTCTCTTCCCCTTGGTAGAGATTACCGCTGCCAATACCACATGGTCATCGTCATAGTTGCTCAGTACCTTAACTACAGTCTCGGAAATGAGGGTAAAATTGCTACCGTGAGGCTACGGCATTGAGTCAAGAATACTGGTTTAAACCAGCATCGTAAGTAGAATACCATATCGATACCGTATCAATACCGTATTCTTACAGCATTACTAGCGTATTGACTAGAATACGATAGTGAATTTCTACCCCTTTCCGGTACTGTAGTACTTAGCCAATTGTGATGGTCGAGTGATAGCTGATGCACCATCACTCTATCTCGAACCGATGCCGCCTCAAGTGTACCTATAATCTCATGGATATCGAACCTCTTGGTTTTCTCCTTGCATATGTACTTCGTTCCTCTCTGGGGTGCCTTGGATCTTATCAGATGAGGCGTTTTGACAACGTTATTAAGCCAAATCAATACCCGAAGCCTCGTTTACTCGATGCCAAATAGTTGGGGTTTTACGGGCAGTAGTTCCTGATTTGCCTTGCCCCTCTGCCTTTAATGGATACGACCCCAAAATCTGACACGACCGGCCTGCTTCCGGGGTATGAGACGATTGCTTTGGCGTCTCCAAAATCCCTCTGAGGGGTTATACCCACTTTAATTGGGCGGGGAAACGTCTACCCCCACCAACACAACACATCATTTATAATTCAAATGCTCTACTCCAAGTGCAAATTCAATAATAGCTTAAGGCCAGTGGTCCCTGCCGTGAGGTGGCACATAATAGGGGTAGAGTCGGCTGTTTGACAGTCAAGAATCGAACCCCTCTCTGGGAGACCAGGGCTGTTGGTTCATAGTGGAAGGAACTCAATGGCTTCCACGGTTCATATTGGTCTAAACTATACTTCGGCTATGATCTGACAGTTGTCGACACGATTGTTAGTGGTTTCATATATATAGTAAGATCTAGATCTATACTACTTGCGCAAAGACTACCTCGTATCCTTAAAAGCCTTATAAAAATGCCCCTAGAGAAGTGCAAGAGGAAGCCCATTTTCAGACTCCCAAAGGGAAAAAACTGTGGGGTCAAATCGTGCTGCTTTTAAGTTTAGAGTACAGAATAGTGGTATCCTTGGGGTCGAATTATCCGGGATAATACAACGATACCGCACTGTTTCTCTCTCCACCTCTTGTCGGTTCTCTAAAATAACCGCCAATAACGAGGCAGAACTGAAGGCAGTTTTTTCAGGAGAAAGAGCCCCAAATTCAATCTCCAAGGATGCCAATATCAATTATGCTGTGCCCGCTTCCTAAGCTATGACAACGACATCATCCTTGCAAGGTTGCTTGGACTTGGATCTTGGATCTTGGAGCTTGCGCGTTTACCCAACGGCCATGGAAACCCCTTGCACCTATGGCCGAATTGTAGCATGACAGGTGCCGTCCGTCATGGACCGCTAACTCAAAGATGTGAGATTAGGTTTAGAGTTGTGAGCGAGCGAGTGATGGGTCGTGCCCTAGCCACAAGCCTCGGCAGGAACCTAAGGCAGATATTAGCCTATTTATAGAAGCACCCCGGTAATGCGATATCTCTGCTCCATCTTGAGAAACCAAACAGCACGTAAGAAGTACCTGCATGTACGTACTTCTACCTACTCGATGTATCTCTACTTTCTCTACACCTGACCTGCTGCACCCATTACATATCAATGTGCTGTGCCAAAGAAAAGCCACGCGGCGATTTGGAACATGAGCGGAAGCCGGGACTTGTAGGGACCCGAGCAAACGTTTCGATCCTCTTTCAGAATCAGGACCCTGCTTCTTATCCCAAGATCCCAAACCAGAATCCCACTTGCACCCCGTAATCGCTTCGCTGCGCCTGGTTTCACCAGCCCCCACGCACAAAAAGGGTCCACTCCACTCCAATCCGCGGAATACAAACGATTGTCCCAAGCTCTCCCTAAGCCGGAACAACCCTCGTCCCGCGGATCCGTGATGTGATGCTGAGGGAATATTTTGACGCGTATCCTAGCCGCCGCTCTTCGCTTTCCTCTTCTTTTTTTTTCTTCCTTCTGCCATGTGGTTGTTCCCTGGAAACGAGTAACCCTAACCCTGACCGTTGTTAGTGAACGAAGCAAGCTGCAGTTATGACGTAGGTGGTTAGATAAGACAAAGACTCTGAGACGGTCGCAGAGCAGAGTGATTTATAATATTAGAAATAGGTATCAAAGAAACGCACCTTTCTGCAAAGGGACGGTTCGGAAAGTTGTACTCACTCGTATTCGAGTTTACGATTGGGGCTTAAAAAAGTGCTGAGTTATTTCTGGGAGGGGTGGTGGTGGTGGGGTTGTTGGTATGCCAGTATGTATGCGTATGCCAGTATGGTTTATGTATGGGTAAGGGGGGGGGGGGGGGGGGGCAATGTAGGGATATATCGATAGACATGGATGGCGGATAGTTAACTAGGCTTGGGAGTAATAATTGAGGCCTCTATGACGTGGAATCGAAGGCTCCTGCTTCGTCATGCCACACTCACAGGAAAGACGGACAAGGACTGTGACTGACTGGAGGGCCGAGACTGGGTGGAGCACTGCTAGGGCGAGTCCCTATCAAAGGACAAAGCAGGAAAGCGAAGCGCGGCGGCGGGGAGCTTATATTTCATGGTGCTTTCCCGCCCTCCTCTTCGCTTTTTTTTTATTACCAGTACTACTATTACTACTACTTATTATCACTGAAGTCGTACCATTATTGACTTTTTATACTACTGCGACAAAAACTTATACCAACACCTGATTGTGGAAAATACTTATATCGAAAACGAAAATAATTCACAACTATAACTCATATCTACAATGGCTGCTGTTATGAGACCAGATAACACCTGGGTAAGTACTCTAATCCACAAATCCAACCTCCAAATCTCTATATCAAAATACTAATTAATCCCCAGGGCGCACCACCCCCATACCACTCCCACCCCCCGACGGCAACCCCTCGTCGCCCCCACTCCAAATCCCTCTCCAGCACCACCCCACGGCCCACCCCGCGCCCACGAAGCACCTCAACGGGCGCTCGCCCCCTCGCCACCCTCCAGCGCGAAGCCCGCCGTGCCCACCGCTCACCACATCTCAAGAAGTCTGCCATCCCAGGTCCAGACACCATCGACCGTCTCGACAACATTCTCGGTGGCACCCCATACCACCACGAAGGTCCATTTGACGCCACTCTGCGCGCAAGACAGATTCCCGGAAGAAGCCCCGTGGAGGCGCTAGCGTGGAGTAATGCAAAGGCGATTGCGGCGACGCCGAGAGAGAACATCATTGATTGCTTGGAGAAGCATAGGCCGTTGCAGGGGACGGCGAGTGTGCCCGTGGGCATGAGGACCGCCGCGGGGCAGGTGATGGGCGATTATGAGGAGGTTGATCTCATGGTGGAGAGTGGGTATCGGAGGTATCCGGGACTTGTAAGTATATTCCTTCTAGTAAGGTTGTAAGGAAGTTTGGAATGTGGGCTAACTGTTTTGATAGGACTATTTGGATGAAGATAAGAAAGGAAAGGGAGAGCCCGGATACACGCTCGACAAGTTCGACAAGCAGCAGAAGGCGGCGCGGAAGGCGAGGAAGACGCAGAGCCTGGGACGCAACGACTATGAGCCATATTCTGACAACAAGACCGGTGCGCACACGCTCGCTGTGCCTACGACCGCGAGTGGGTATGAGGGCGCCGGCGTGAGGCGGAACAAGAGCTCTGCCGGACGAATGGAGGGCGGCGAGTCATTTGGTGATAAGTTGAAGAAGAGGTTCAACTTGAAGAGGAGGTTGAGCTAGAGGGTGTTTTTATCGATTGATGCACGGACGGGCTTACTGTTACTGTTACTTGTATACTGACTGACCTTTTATACGATCGTTTCGATGGGTTTTTTCCTTTGTTTTAGCTTGTGGGGTTTTTGGGGCTTTTCTTTTGGCTTTTCTTTTAGCTTTCTTTCTTTTTCTTCTCATATATTACGGATAAATATCAGGGATGGGTACACATAGATGTGTCTTTTGTTGGACTTTTTGGTTTTGGTTTATTGGACTCAAATTTGAAGTATTGCGCCTGATGGGCTCTACTGTTGTATTATTATTAGTTTACTTTTACATGTGTTAGCTTTGGGATACGAATCATATCATGAATATAAAAAAGCATTCAATTATACACAATACGGTTTATATACACCTTGGAACCAACAAACCTATTACAACTCCAATTCAAAAAGTGTCTCTTCATCATCTTCCGTCTCTCCCGCTCCCACCACCCCCAGTTCTTCACTTCCACAAATAGTAACGTCACTATCCTCAGTACCCTCAGTATCCACACTATCCTCAGTATCCTCAGTATCCTCAGTATCCTCAGTATCCTCAGTATCCTCAGTATCCTCAGTATCCTCAGTATCCTCAGTATCCTCAGTATCCTCAGTATCCTCAGTATTCATACTATCCCCACTATGACTCTCACTCTCACTCTCACTACTATCACTCTCATTCTCCTCCTGCACATAATTTATTATAATAATCATCTCCTCAAACCTCACCTCCTTCCCCCGGCCCCCCGGACTCGGACCCTCCTCCTCCACCGTTCCCTCATCCCCACCCCCATCCACCTCCACCTCTACCTCAGACCCCGAGCGTCTCGCATTATACTGCGTCCTCCACCGCGTCTCGGCATCAAGGTCATGCGGCCTCACCACCGGCACGACCCTGTAACCCCGCGGCCGCGGCAGCTGGTACGGCGCGATATGTGTTGTGTGGCGGGGCGGGGAGAGGTGGCGCGGGCGTGCTTGCCAGGGGATGTAGGAGCCGATGAAGTATCGGTGCACCGGCTGGTGTGGTTCGGCGGGGTTGGTCATTTTTGTTGTCCGGCGGGCCGGAAGGGGGCGAGTGATGGGGTGTGATGGGGTGTGATGGAGTGGGCTTGGGTTGGTTGGTGTGTGGTGTTTTGTGTTTAAGGAATGTCTATGGAGAGAAGCGATGGAGGGAGGAGAGACGTGGGTTCTGTTCAATTCTATACATAGTAGTCGAGGTAGGTTTATAATATCGTGGTCATCGGGGTGGTGCGCTAAGAACTTTGCGGACTAGATGGCGGTGTCGTTCTGAAGAATTTACGCCACTTGACGATGTTATTTTTAGAGGTTTTTTGTAATAAATATTGCTGTAATAAATATTGTTGGTATCATATGGTACCATCTCTGTAGATGTAGATTATTATACCCTCGCTGGTGAATCGATTTTGGACCTCTCATGCTCAAACTCGACGTGATTTGTCAAGGCATGATATTTATTAACCCCCCCCAAAGGCCCTATAAGTACATCTTTAATAAGTAGCTTCCTATGTACATCTAAATCTCTCGTTAATTTAATCTGAGATAACGACGACTACATGAGCCCTTTACTATATATATAGGTATTTGGACAAGACATTACTTCCGGTTGGTTAACTTCTGCAGGAACTAGAGAAGCCATTCGATATTTATCATGTCAACCAAAGATCCCCAGCACGCGACGTATAAAGCTCGAAGGTCTCGTGTTCGGTTATCTCGAACTCTTCTTTCAAAGGTTATGCGAAACCGAGTGATATTCTATGAAACGAATTTGAAATAATGATTCTCTGCCTTATCCTGGGTTCGGTGTGCCTAGGTTTTATAAGGGTCTCAAAAGAGAACCTTGCTTATTAGGGAAGATTTGATGTCACCTTTGCTTTGAATACTTTCTGAACCTTGCTCTGTTTCGAGTGATTGCTTGTGACTTGAGAGAACTTTGGGTTACAAATATGGAGTTGTTCGACCTAATATGAGCGTATATAGAGCCATGTATTTACGGTTGGGAGAAGATCGGGTTGCTGTGTTGTTGGCCGACAGTCATAGGGTATCTTGGCTACGCAGTTGAGTTTTTCCTTTTTGAGTGATAATAGGTCTGTCATGCATACATGTAGTCTTGCGTGCACCTGCTAGTACTGATCGCAAACATAACACTTGATAAAAGAATTATTTAATATGTGTTATAACTTTAGATACCCAATATGCTATCACAAATAAACTAGACCTCATTGTCCTTTGACCTCCAGTTGCGAAAAGAAACCTTCTTGATCCAGAGTCTCAAAATCGATTCCGACACCCTGAGAAGAAAGCTTCTTACTTGCCACGGGGTTTAACCTCAAGCTTCAGAGTACTCCACATTGCAAGCAGAGAGTCATCGGAGATGAATGTGCTCCAGCCGTCAGCCTCTGCTACATTCCAATCCCCATTAACGTCCTCCTCAGGCTCACTCCCAATCTGCCTACGGCCAACCACTCTCCACTGGATGTCTGAGAACCCGCAGTTCTTTGGTTCGACGTATGCTTCGCACATGGGGCACACAGAGAGATGCTCGTCCTCTTCAAAGTTGAAATTGTTCGGGCCCCATCTGATTAGGATCTCTTTGTCGAAAGCTACGCAGGCACGAGTTTTGCAAATCCCTTTGAATAGAATTTTATATCAGTAATGTCTCTGTATATAGCATAGTATCGAGAAGCGCTGTTACTCACCTATGAGGCTTATACCCGGCACAGCCATTCTCCAGGCAGGCGCCCTGTAGTCCCACGATAGTCTAAGCTTGTCCTTGGACTTGAGCCCGTGGAAGGAGAAATGAGTGGTTCCTATTGGCCTCACTGGGCCACCAATACGTCTTACTTCCGGGGTGCCCTTTGGGGCGTAGATGGCATTATTCTTCTCGTCCGGGTCCTCTCTGTCGGTAGACATTTTTGTCGAAGGGATCTGAAAATGATATTAGTTAATTGAAGTTGGAGATGAAGAGAAGCTTTGAAGGATATGAGTGTTTATCACACCTAATTATGTTGTGGTTGGGTGTATTTACCGGTGAGAAGCCTTTTGGTGAAGAGCTGCGATGTGGATGTTAACCGGGAAGCATGTGGCGTTAAATACAGGAAAATGATGATTATGATTTCCTTAAGATTGAAGTCTGGGGGATGACTTTTGCTAAGCATGTAGCGATAATGAATTGTATTCTTTGTGTTGTTAAGCTAGAGAAATAGTCTTCTCTGAATGTGGCTTCATGTAGCTTTCGAGAAACTTCCTTGTCAAATATGTCGCGAATCAGATAGATATATATTGTCTTTATCTGCACCACCACTCTGATCTGGAGATCAAAGATTGTGTTTTCTTTAAAGATAGACCATCTTCTTAGACTGGCTAAACCACCTTAATCCAAGTCTTCCAATTTCTTTCAAAGCATCTTGGAATCTCCATAACGAATGCATGTACCCGTATGTTTAACAAGGTATCAAAGAAGGAAGTCGGTACTAGAATGATCTTAGCCAGCGAAGAAGTATCTGACCTTTTCATCATAGTAGGTTGATATAAGGATATCTTTCTAATAGAGCTGCGCGCACACTCAAGCTTCCTTAATTGTATAGTCTGGATCTCTGGCATTGTTGGTCTACCAGTGTATGCCCCATTCTGGATATTGCCAGCAAGATATCAAAGACAACTCTCTTCGACGCCGTACCAAAGCTTTTAGATATCAATCTCTGTTCTCTATTGTCCTTGTATTGCATTATCCACGACCAGCTTCTATTGCATTGGCAGCTCATAGTGGATCCAGTCCAAATGAGCCAAGATTACCAGTCTTAACGATTTTTCTTATGATCTGGTAACGTCCAATGTTTATTCTCGTCATGGAACCAACAGTAATTATAGGGATTGGAGCTTCAGTACGCCGTTTAGATAGCCCTTCATATATCGTACAGAGGTATCGGCCCAAGAGGCTAGAAACTATGAGCTATATCAGGAAATCTGGGGATGTCCAGGACTTACATCACCTCGATACAGGTCCGTATCAATCTGCTCACTTTGGCGGTAAAGAATCCTTCCCGTATGTTCTAGGGTTACTGCATGACTTATCTGGTTGACAATGTCAGTGTAGCCATATCTACAAAAACCTAACCCTATGCATAACATGATCTAACCATATTGGTACTAGTGCAATTTCAATGTCGCTATTCACTTCACCAGCGAAGGCGCGAAGTGTTGAACAAACCCCCGGCTTCACAAACATTTCAAAAGATGGAGTCACCAACAACACTACCTCCAACTTCGCTCGAAACGCAATCTTCATTCCCTCCGGCAGAGGTCAGTGCTACCTTCAGCTTTACGTTCTGTTCACCAGATGAGAAATTGCTCTGCTAACATGCTACGTAGGTTCTTGTCCGAGACTCAGCTAAAAGAACACGCGAGCTCTTCTCTGGAGATTTCGGGAACGCATTCCTTCTCGACGATGAGTCCAGGTAACTACCGCTCTCCCTTAGTCTAGCTCTACCCTACCTCATACTCCCGCGATAGACCCCCTGACACAATCTCCACAGTCGCAAATCCCTCGTCACGAACAAAATCCGCACCGAATATGACGACCTCCGCGAGCTTCCCGCAGCATTAGCAGCCAAACAGGCGGCAGCCACCAGCGCTGCGAAACGCAAGAAGCTCGGCCCCGGCTCTTCGAAGCCCCTTGCCACAGAAGCGGACGGCGCCGATGCATCGACAATGAAGATGATTGAGGGGATCCCCTCCTCAGGGGCAATCGGACCCACCACGACTGCGCTCACAATCCGCGGCAAAGCGCCGATGCCAGGCTTTGGCGGCGCGGGTAATGCTCAGAAGAATCTTCCTGGATCGAGCTTGGTGAGAAACAATGCCGCGCAGCAGGTGAAACCTGTTTGGCACGCGCCGTGGAAGCTCATGCGTGTTATTGCCGGTCATCTGGGGTGGGTTCGCGCGCTGGCTGTGGAGCCGAACAATCAGTGGTTTTGTACGGGTGCTGGAGATCGTACGGTAAAGATATGGGATCTGGCGAGTGGATCGTTGAAGTTGACGTTGACGGGTCATATTTCTACTGTTCGAGGGTTGGCGGTATCGCCGAGACATCCATATCTATTCTCGTGTGGTGAGGATAAGATGGTCAAATGTTGGGACCTAGAAAGTAATCGCGTTATTCGGCATTACCATGGGCATTTGTCGGGTGTATACTCTCTGGCACTCCACCCAACGCTGGACGTCCTGGTTACTTCAGGTCGTGACGGTGTGGCACGAGTATGGGATATGAGGACCCGCACAAATGTCATGGTCCTCTCAGGACATCAAGGAACTGTATCTTCAGTTGTCACACAGGAGGCGGACCCTCAGGTTATTACAGGTTCCATGGACTCTACTGTTCGTCTATGGGATCTGGCAGCCGGGAAAACCATGGCAGTTCTCACACATCACAAAAAGTCAGTCCGAACAATCACGACACATCCAAAAGAGTTTACATTCGCTTCTGGAAGTGCCGATAATATTAAGCAGTGGAAGTGCCCTGAAGGAGCGTTCATGCAGAACTTTGAGGGCTTTGGAGGAATAGTGAATACATTGAGTGTCAATGAAGATGATGTCCTATTTTCAGGATGTATGTGACCCCGTATTCCCATCTTACTTTACTACTGATAGCTCACATATAACAGCGGATAATGGTGAGATGTGCTTCTTCGATTGGAAGTCCGGACACCGCTTCCAAAAGATGGATACCACCGCGCAGCCAGGTTCCTTGGAAGCAGAGCAGGGTGTATTTTGTAGTACTTTCGATAAGACCGGTTTGAGATTGATTACGGGTGAAGCCGATAAAACTAGTATGTCCTACCTATCCCGGTGTGTAGCTGATTGATGCTAATGGTGGTCACGTTATAGTCAAAGTATGGAAACAGGACAAAAATGCTACAGAGGAGACACATCCGTTGGATTGGAAACCAACGTTGCAGAGACGGCGGTACTAGTTTGGATTTTTTTTTGTCTTTGTGTCCTCGGACGCTTGAATATCTGGGCTTAGATGGCTCTGGAGGATAGAGGAGGCGTGATGTTTTGTTTCCTTCCTCATTTGTATTTTTACAAAAATTGCTTTTCTGTTTGTTCTGCTCATGATATTAGGTGGCTAAATAATGAAATGAAATCTGGTCTTTCTCTTTATTCGATGGGTGCGGTAGATGCTGCTACTGCCTTGTCTATTTTCCGCGGTTGCCTAGGAGATCTCATCAAGCGGGGTGCATGCACATTGGGCGTTGAAAATGTTCAGTTTGGAGTGTAACCACCTGGGGTCTCTCAGACCGTCGATAAATTGACGGCTGGATCGATTCTATCGTCGTCGTTATCTTTTGAAGTCATGGCTCCGGGCCAATCCAAAGGGCGCAATATTACCTTGTCGATTGTTCTTGCACTACTCATGTGAAAGATCACGTACGGATCTATTGCCCACGTAATTTTTTTTATTTTTTATTTAATTCATATATTGCCCACGTAAGAAACATCCGGTTCTGCCAATCTTTGCTCAATATCGAGAGTTTTGAGCCTAGAAATAATCACAATGTGCCTAGGTATGCACAGTTCCCAATGCTGTCTCCCCATTCCCTTTCCAAAGCCACCATGTAGGGCAGCTTTTGGGGGAATTTCAATTAGCACTTTGCTTCTCCACCAGAGCACCACCTTCATGCTCTTAGTTAGTTCAGGTGGGGGATTCAAAAGGTGAAGTTTCTAAGGATTATGCACCCAAATTCTCCTTGACCAACAAGATCGCTCACCCCCCTCGTATTCCCCTCACTATCAAAAAATCAGTATCCATGTGCAAGTGCCAGCATCAGTGTTATGCACTCTCTAGGTATCCCTGTCGCTGAGTTGGAAATAGTCAACAGTACATACTCTTTGTTTGTGGTCAATTTGTGGTTGGGTTAAACTCTAGCCGCAGAAGAAAAACAGCTCAAGTCCGGCCTATTTTCACTGGCCGACACATAATGCTTGTTCATCAATCAGCAGTATCTACAGTAGACCAGTCAGTTTCTTTCTCGTCAGCGTACTCTAAAATGCTGATACACACCTATTGGCCTCTAGAGAACACATCCAGGAGTTTTGTTCGCAGCCAGCAATAATCTGTTCACCTAGGCCTCAGCCAGGCGTGTAATTGGTGTAATATGCAGGTAAGCCTTTCTCGCCTCCCATCAAAGAGCGTCTCATATTTGTGCAGATCTTTCTTTTCTAGAGTATATTTCCCATTGAGATGAGGCCACGGATGCTGGCTATCAGACGAAAATGAAGGGATTTAAAGCGATAAGAACCCAATCCTGCGACATCTTGAGCGGCTTTATGGACCGATTCAGTTGTAATCAACCGAGGATAGTTCTTCCCAGGGTAATCTTGTTTGGTAGTGGCAGTGCACTGTGACAGTGACACAGACTTGTTCTTCTTGGCTCCGGTAAGGTAGATGGTTGGTTTGATATCTGATTATGAGTCTATCCTCAGTGGGAATTGCCCCGCGCCCCGACGAGAAATAAGATGGCATAAACGACGTTGGTGGATGGAAACCGTTGCAAGGCCGTCTGGGTAACAGAGTACACTAGATGAGATTCACGTGTTATCACTCGATGTGCTAATCCGCATATTGGGGTTTTTTTTTTTTTTTAATTCATTAATTTTATGTAGACCGTAGTCTATGACAATATCGCACTACCCCAGAATTTCCCGATCACTTCCTCCACCTCACACATAATAAGGGAACTAAATCCGCATATTCGGTACGGCTTGACCAAGAATAAAGCTTAATACCACAGCCAATATGTAGCTACACTAAATCGACCGCCGTTCTCGTTTTTGACCTCTTCCTCTCTCCAAAGGTCTTTTCTGAAATTTCGTCTATTCCACAGGCTTATTTCATGAATATCATCTTGTTT